TAATGTTGGAATAAATCAGTAGCTCGTGTAGATATACAACTAGTACCGGCATAGTGCTATTAATGTCACCCATTACCATTCTTGCTTCAATGACTTGTAGAAACAAAAAAACTCCCTAGTGGAAGGGAAAAGAGAGAGGAAGTTTTTCCCTTTCTCGACTTACCGCGAACCTATAGAGCAGTTTCCAACCGACTTGACCGAGTCAAGACTCAAAAATCTACGCTAAGGAAGTCCCAGAGAAATAATTTGTTTCAAATTTACTATAGTGTACTAAGGAAACGAGAAGACACGCTCGCGCCTGTACGACCGTCATTGTATCTATTTCATCTTTTTGGCCTTTTAAACGCAAGTCTTGAGCGGTTATCCTTCGTTGCCATGTGGCCACATCGGCTATGATTTATAGTTGGGTAGGTCGAATGACTAGAGTAGAGCGAAACTAAGTAGCACCCTATAAAATAGTAGCTAACTGGCTTGTACTACCTAAGTAGTTAAAATATGAAACTATATAGAAGTAAGAACTATTTTTAATATATTAAGAAGACTACATAAGTTTGGCCATACGCTACTTCATTTAGCAGGCGAATGCGTCTGAAAGCGCTCGAAGCAAGAAAGGTACGATGAGTGACTTTATTAGCACTACGCTCTGAGCCGGAGCCGCTAGTATGACTTGAGAATATCGTGCTGGTGTTGTAGTAGTGCTAGTATATGGAGCAGTGATAGTTACTATGAATTAGAACTCTTACCTATAATGCTATTTACCACTATATACATATAGCACACAATTTTTTTTTTGTATCCTAATTAACAAGGTATTAATAGAGTTTTAGATAGTTAGCTCCTTACTTACACGATAATACTGACTAGATTCGAACTAGTTTTCCGATGCTGATGGAAGAGTCATGCTAGTATAGTATTGTTATATAGGGATCTTGCGGAATTCTATGCAGTAGTACAGTTATGGATAGTGTTATTACCTAGTAGTTATATAAATAGCGCGCTCTTCCCATAATAGGTTGATTTACCTAACATTGCTAATGCTTACGATATAGAAAAGTACTTCTCCTATGAGTAATATCGAAATGCCACAATACATTACATTTATTCTTTTCAAGAAAACTTATACGCAAATTTAAAATAGTTTAATGAATTAATATACACGTATATAACTGTTTTTAGAAGCAATAACAATTTAGAACTCGCCTTTTCCTATTAAATTTTTTTAAAATGGTTGACCAATGTTGCGACCAATAATATTTTTTACAAAATGTAGAGAGGGTATATAAATAAGGTTACTATTATAAAAGCTAAAATTATATTAAAGTACAGCTGTAGTTTCTCAAAGCTCTTTTCAATTGCTTAGATGGCATGCTCTTTTGTAATAGCGTTATAGACCAGCTTTTGCTTTCAGACACACGCAAACTTACCTTATATAATACTAAACTGGTCAACAAAAAAATAATCACTAACCTCACCAAATATTCTTTATACTTGAATGTTTAAATTTCAACGTTGCCTTTTGAAGAAAGAAAAACGGAATTAATAGCTGAATCACCAAACAAAAAACTTTAAATTTAAGTCTTTAGTATATAACGTAATAAAATTTGTATTGGGGGAAGACGTTCACGTAACCACCAAGAGTGGGAAGAAGTAAATCGCACCTATGGAAATCGAACCAGAGTTATTTGATTTAATGTATTATATCTTGATTTTAAACGCATAGTTAACTAGAAATTAACTTTAGCTCCTGTAAGAGAAGTAAATAGAGAAAAAGAAAAGGGGATTTGTTAAATTAGTAGCTCTAGGCAGACCTTTTAGCTGACATATGATTTAGTCGAACTAAGGTTTGAAAAACTGTACGCAAATAAATTAAATTTATGAATTGAAGAAAATGAATTCTAAAAGTATGCCTAGCCTCTCTTACACTCGCTTTCTAGTTAGTTGTAATATATAAAACCCTTCAATTAGGGACGCTTGCTCGCACTCCTTCAACATATGCTAGAAATTAGCTTAAATCTGTAGGTCATTGTTCAATTTGAAAACTATCATGAGATTTGCGTAACTTTTAAAATGGTATAATTAATGTAGTGGTCGTTAGTGATAATGGAAAGGTCTGTGCTATAATTATATTATACAAATCTAATAGTAAATTTACACCTATATAAAATTAATCAAATTTTACTGATCAAGTTACTATGCTTAATAATGTATAACCGTTCATGCAGGAATTAATTTCGTATCTCCGTTTTTTTAAAACTTGATGCATCAAGATTTTATTAATATTATAGCTGTAAAAAGGATGCTTCATTTACACAGGTATGAGGAGTGTTTACATAGGAAGCCAGTAAAGGCTGTATAAATTAAGATGCTAATATCTCCTAGAAATTAATAGAAGAGAGTAAATTGCTTAAATTAACCACATCAGAAAGGGTACGAAGAAAAAGAGGAGAAAATGATCAATTTGTTTTCCCGTAAAGGAAGGGTATTTATGCACACACACGTAATAACACGTGACACAATAATGTGGTTAATAATAAATGGTAGGAGCATGTGATTTATTAAAATTAACTCCAACAAGCCAAGCGCTTATAAACTTCAAACGGGAAGAACTTTCACAGCTTACAGAACTTCTGTTACGGAGTTATAAGCCAAGCTGGAGGTTAAAGAGAAGTATTTGTTAATTGTTAACTCTATGCAAATTTAATTATTTTCCTTTTGAAGATTTTTGTATTTTTACGAGTCTCTAAACTATCTGTATATATATATGATCTTTTAAGATATTATAATCACCATGTTTATAGATAACTTTTAAAGATACTTGATTCTGAACAATTTGTTTCTAAGCCTCTCTTAGTGTTGCTTTTACGCGATCGTACCCATAAACTAAGCTGCTCCTAAGCGAGGAGGTACAGACTTATATACTAGCCTTAAATATACCTAATCTGCTGCAAGTACACAAAGTAATTTTAAGAAGCTCTTAGGTCCATGAATAAAAATATATATATATCTTTTCCTATTTTTTGGTGGTAGTTGTTTCACAGGTATCTATATATCCTCTACTGATGGATCGGTTATACTGATTTTAGGTTTATTTATTCATAAAAACAAACTAAAATTTTAATAAAATAACTAAAAATTCGATGTCAAATAGCAATGAAATATAGTTATCTTAAAGTTGAAGTTATTTTTTGTGTATAATCAAAAAATACTTTTCACTTTTATTTTTGAGAAATATTAATGATTTATTTTTTAGGGGTTTTCACCTACTTGGTATGGAGAGCTCGTAGTGCCTTAAGATTAATTACATCACAGTTGTGAGACACTTGGCGTCTTTCTTACAAATCTGTTGTGCAGTGTCGTTGAAAACATGGGGTCTAAGGTTTCTATAGTTTAGGCGTGGGATGCCAAATCGGGAAATATATTAACAAAAATTAAGTTAGCACGTGTTTCAAGTATGCAATAATTAAGAAAATTTATTATTTTTTTGATTAGACCTTCGTTAACTGGCTAATATTTATATCATTGCTTATACTTGTCCTTTTTCTATTATATTTTTTTTCTTTTAATTTTATTGCTAATACTGATAGTTTCTTCTAAATTTAAAGGCGCATAGTATATTATTATTTAACCAATGATTTTCCTCTTAGTGGCTGCTTAACTTATACGATTTTAATAAATTGACTATTGCATTACTATAGGAGACCAGCGGCGTTATGAAGTACGCTGCTTGGTCACAGAAAAGACTTTGCTCTTTGCCACTTGACAGAGAAGTTACCAAATTTTTGTTTGTAGAGGAAGGATATTTATATAATCAGAGATTTAGAGAAATTAAAAATGTGAAGGGACCCCAACAAATGAGATGCCATGAAAATAAATCATACTTATCACCTATGTGAAGCACACGCTAATATCCACCTATCTTGATATAATAGCGCACGGAGTAATCTAACACGTGCTCAAAGCCCGTGATTTTTACAAAATCACTACATTCATAGCAAATTTCGCGCCAAGCTATAAGCGCAATCAGATAGTTTTTCAAATATTGGCAATGTAGGGAGGACGCGCATCAAATTAAGACACACACCTTATTAGACTGATCTCAACCATTATAATAAAAAGACAAATAACGTGTTAAAAAGCAAAATCATGTGGAATTCACTGAAACTCAGAAAAGAAAGGTTCCCAGTATCCAAAGTATACTTTTTCAACATTCCCCCTTACTCTTATGACAAGTAATTTGTTCAGGACCCACTTTTACCACAAACTTGGGGGGTGGGATATGGGGTTCCAAAATTCAGCTTTATAATAAGGCCCTCGAACTTAAAGAATTTTTCTTAATTTTGTGACTGTTTGCCCCTGGGAATCGAACTTGTGCTTTACAGAGCACTGGGCTTAATCTTCGAAACTAACCGCAGTTCTAGAGGTAACAGTTGGGTGCGATAAACCCTTTATAAGATTACACAGGTTCAACACTTGTCTACTAGGTTAAGTCAAATTTTTGTACCTTTATAAAAACTTAATAGTTGTACTCCGTTGCCGATACCTTATTTTGATTTTGTTTCCCTGTGAGTTTAAAATACGGTCCCTAACCAATAAGCTGTTTAAACCGTTACTGATATAAACATAGACAGCTCAGTATTTTTCACAGGTTATACTACTTTTTATTCTAACAAGCTTTATTCCCCTGAAGGTACGTAAACATTTGAAGATTAAGCACTACTATACCTTAAAAACCAAATTAAACTTATAACTTTTTTTAACAGGGCAGAATTTGTATCTCATCCTATATCTTTAATAAATTTCTATTATGATTAAAAGCTATAGAAATATACAATTATAACCCGTAAGGAACAAATGCTCCTCAAAATTATACAGCTCTCGAGTATAAACAATTTGGCCTAAAAGAGTATCGCGATGATCGATAAAAATACCGTGGTAGCAATAACCAATAATATATATAAATATTTTTAACCTTCCATATTTGAAATTTAAAATTTTGCTATCAGCTTTTAAGCTCAGAAATATTTTCATGGGTGAAAGTACGTTAAAAAAACGTTGTTACTATTAGGTCCGCCCTTATCCTTTTGCTATTTTCTTCAGCTTGGGTGTTTATTTGTTCTGGCGTCCACATTGGGCTTTTTTTATTTTAGCTTTATTTATATATTAGTTATTGAAAGTTTAACACTTAACTGAGGCTTAAAATTAAATTTTGTTCACGCTAATTTTTTTTTGCTTTAGGATGGGAATAAAGGGTGTGCTCGCTATAGCAATTTTCTTCCTATGTTTTACAAGAAGTTACTGTTTACCATTTTCCAATAAGTTTCATGAACTTGGAAGTAGTGTAGTAGCTAATTTTAGTAAGTATAACCTGTTACATCTTACAGTTATTATTGTTGCTTTTAATTTTTTTTATATTACAAGACGATTTAAGAAGGAAAGTGAAAGATTATGTAGGAAGTTTTTTTATTGATTCTAATAAAGAAGGAACAAATAACAGCTACAATAAGAGTTATGCTTACCGTTATTATAGTGTTGCATCACCTCGTTGCTTAATGACGTGTGAATTTCTGGGATTTGACAAAGGTTATAAACTATAACTTGTCACTCTTTTTATGTATTTCATATATTATATAACTTCGTTAATTCTTTATTAAATTGTCTTTACTTTTATATTTATATATACTTTAATTTAACGTCGAAGAATTAGTTAAAGTATGTGGGTCTGACGGACACTTCTATGAAAATTCTTGCCTTCTGCGTCTCCAGGCTTGTATAACGGAACAGAAAATAGAAGTTGTAAACCACAGTCACTGTGAAGCACTCGAAAAAGGTATTTATTTTTTAGTTTTGTTTACTTATATAAGTTATAAAACTTATAGTTGATCGTTGCGAAAGGATATGTCCTAAAATTTATAGGCCAGTTTGTGCGACTAACGGGAAGACTTACTCGAATCTATGTTTATTGAAAGTTGCTGCTTGTGAGCTTGAGCGGAATCTTAAAGTGGCGTCGGAGGGGCCGTGCCTTCATTCTGACTTAAAAAAACCGGATCTTGTGAAATGTATAGCGGACGTCGGTATATTGTTTATCTATCGATTACTTTATATTTATTAAATGTTGGTTTCCTTTGAGCTTATTATCTTATAGGAAAAGTATTATTTAATATATGATATACTGAATATTGAAAGCTTACAATTTTATTATATTTTAATTTATTTAAGAGATTACTTGATTTCTATTGGTTAACTCTTTTGACATAAGTAAATTAAACACGTGATTAATATAATTTTACTTTATTTTTAACGCCTTTAATAAAAATAATCGTTTGTTTACGGAATGGACAAAAAATAAAAAAAAATTAAAACAGCAAATTAAGGCAATAAGTAACTTCTAAGTTTATAATTACTAAAAAAAATTTAATGTTGTACCTTTTAAAGTTAATTAAAATATAATTAACTTTTAACAATATTATTATTGTACCTGGTTAAAATGTAAATCATTTATTTTTAATATTGGTTTTTAGTATATATGTATTATAACTAAGTTTATAATTTAGTTTGTTACTTTTATAAGTAATATTAATATTTATTCATAATAATAATAATCGAATAGCCAAATATTGTGGTGAGGATTCTACCGAGCTTTTCACTTTGGAGCATAATTGTGTTTTAAGTAATTATGACTGGTTAACTAAAGATTGCAAGGAGCAAGTGGACTTATACAGGTAATAATAATTATTACTTTATTTAAAAATAAAAAAATATCTCTTGGTACTTTATAACAAAAAGTTTATAAAATAATATGAAAGTAAAGATATTATAATTGATAAAAAACTAAGAGGTAACTTCATAAGAAAGATATTCGAATAAAAAAGAAAGTGAATATTTAAAAATATTAAAGCAAGTAAAATTGTATTACAAATAAAGTACTGCATATTATAATTAGCCTTTTTTTAACCATAACATATAAGCATCTTTTAATACTAATAATGAATAATTATATTATAAAAACGTATGCTTTTTAGGTCTCTGAAAGTTAGTATATGACTGTTTGCTTTCATTATTAATAATTTAATATTGCAGAATGATTCGAAAAGCTGATGATATTTTTAACCCGTACGACTTTGTTCTAGTTGGAGGCGCTCCTCTTCTCGGAGATTTCACTATTAGTATATTTCTATTTTGTTTGTTCATTATCTATTATAACATTTTGAAGGGTTTAATTATGTGTGAAAAGCTTGTAATCACTGAATAGTAGGAATATAATTATAACTTCACGTTTATGTACTATAAACTTGATGCCTTATAATGAAATGCTATAAAATAACTTACTAAAGAGGATCATCCTTCGGTTTGTCCCTCCATATGTCCGCAGGTTTACACCCCTGTTTGCGGTATGGACGGCCATATTTACCCTAACCGCTGCCAGATGAGAAGAGGTGCATAATAGTTTCATTAGGATTTTTTAAAAATTCGAGTTACTTAATGAATACATGGAATAAAGTGCTTGTAGTTTTTATTAAATAAGTAAAACTAAAATTTATAATTTATTACTTAGAGTCCTGCACTTTAGGAAAACCGATTGAAGTCGAGAGGAATTATATGTTCTGCCATCCCACCAAAGAACAACTACCCTTCTTTGAGAGGGGTAACCACGTGGACGCCCTCAGCAAAGAAGAGCCCTGTACTGAGGATCCCGTCTGTGGCAGTGACGGTATTTAATTTTAAAAAACTTAAATTAAATTTTTTCTTATTGGTCGAATACTTTGCATTAGGCGTAGTATACTCGAACGCGTGCGAGTTGCGCCGTAAAGCTCGCCTGCAGGCCGCCACCATCGAAATAAGACCAATGGACACTTGCGTTCATGGACGTGGGCAGCAACATTTTTATTATATAATCGGGGCCTTCCTAGCGACTACTAGCATGACGTTGACTGCCATCGGTTTTTTTTTATGGAAGAGGAGCTTCCGGCGTAACTCGTCACCTCCGCCTGAGTATAAGTCTCTTAATCTCGTTGATTTGCAGTGTGTAGAAGAAAATTTACTTAAATCCTTCTGATGGTGGGCGTAAGATAAATGAATAAAACTGATAAAAGGGCCGAGTTTTATAACCTGGGAGTAACTGTTACAGATTAGTTGTGAGACCTTTACTGAAGAAACTAAAACTGAAAATTGACTACATATACGATTAATTATAGTTTTTTTTTACTGATTGATTTATATTGACTTTTGTGTGTCGCAAGAAGAGTTATTAGTATGGTAGTTATCATTAAATGGTTGTAAGCAGTGGAAGTCGTTTCTCTACAGGTTTTTCTAGTCAGATGGTGCTAGTTCAGTTATTTTATAAAAAGGGTTATAATTATTAGAAAGTATTTACAAGTACCCGTATGTTAATAAGAAGGCTATACAAAAGGTTGCAAGAATTTCCATGTACAGTCACACTGTTGACTTTTTCTATATTGAGCTATCTGCTTTATGACTCGAGTTTTTGAACATAGACATATAGACATAGTTGCACCCAATTAAATTAAGTTGAAATTTAAATATTATTACATTACCTTTATTAATTTACTTAACTTATCACATTTTATTAATTTTAATTTTGACAGCCTCTTTACCTTTAAAAAGAAATGTTATATCATTGCCGGCTACCATTCCAAGGAAAGCTCGCCTTTGGTTATATAACACGTTGACTACGTTGAGACCGGTATTTAGCGCCTTCAGCTAGTGATTTTCGCTTTACCGAAGTTACGGCGCCACCGCAACTCTTTTTTAAGTAAAAGCCCTACAAACTGCGGACCGTGGGCGAGGCTAATGCGTCCATTACTGGATTTCAGGTGTTAAAAAAACTTTTTTTAACTAATGCTCGAGAGGCGGCATGCACGCCAGCTTATTACCATTGGTGGCTTTTAATCATCGTTTGGGGACATTACGTGTCCCTTCGCCAATGGTCAGTGACGCCGGAGTAAGAAGGGCTTTCAATCCAGATGCGCGGCTACATAACATTTTACCTTCAGAGTAATAAGCGACTGGGTTTGTAGGGATTAGGCTGGTAGAAACACTGGCGCATGTTACGTGCCTGAAGCAGAGGCGAAAAAGAAGACCTCTGATTTACCCTAATTTTATATAAATTGATCTGGCAGCTTATTAAAAAACATGATGCTTATCTGGTTTCGTATACTATTTATAGTGTGTTGGAGGATCATTACAATATTTAATCCATTTAATTTTTTTGTTTACCGAAAGCTATCCGATCCTTACTAGAAGCAAATTAACTATTAGTTTATAAGATTTAAATTAGGTCCAACTACTTAAATTTTAAAATACTTTCTATGCAAATGAACACAGTTTTTAAGTTTCTTTATATGTAAATGCCCATGAGATTGTGTTTTCCGATGCTTTGTTATTTTCATAGTTTGCTACGTCTGTTACGCCCCCATCACCGTGCGGCACTCGCACTTAATTCTTTTTATATAGGAAGGATGCGATTTTATAAGGGTAGCGCCTAAATCCAGGTAGGGGTTATTTTTTAAATATCTAAACAGAAGCCCAGAAGAGTAAGCTTTTGCTTAAAAAAGGATATAATTTTCTAGAAAGTTTTATAATTAGTATTTATATATAAATAACGCGCATTTAGCCCTGCCATCGTTTATAAGTCCTAATATCAAATTACGAACTATTGAGGCACTAGTTCAACCGGGTGTGTCGAAGGTAACTGAAAAAATGCATTGTAAGCGCTAGTAAAAGAGTTGTTGTTGTTAGTAGTCCCTGAAGTGTACGAAATACAAGGTACTTGTGTTAAAAGTATTTACTTATGAGATCGTTCTTTAGTGCTCGATTGAGTTAACAAACCCGAATACTCGAGCTTTCAAACAGGTTTAGCCTCTAACATGTTGAATTATGTTATGACTTGTGAGGCGCTGTGCGCTGCCTCATGACTCGTGAGTTTTTTCGCCTAAAGACCATTAGCGTATCCGGCTGTTGTTTGATGTGACCGCTTAGCTCAACTACTAAAAACGGTGTGTCTTTTAGCATATGGTACAGTACGTAACGGTATAGTTTTGCACCCTGCTTGACTACACACGCCTTTTTAAATTGTACAATTTTCCTTCAGATAAGTTTTAATTATGACCTATGCATAAATTGCGCCTGAACAAATATTAAGGCTTACTCTTAACGAGGTTTTTTAAAAAGGCAATCTATACAATCCATAAACTCTCGTAAGCGAGGGCAAACACCTAAAGAGCGGTAGAAGCAAAATAAGAATTTTTTAAAACATGTGGTTAATTACTTGTACAAAACTATTATGTAACAATATAATTCGTTGATAATGTGTATTAAAATGGAGAAATAGCGTAAAATAATAATTTATAAATTGTAAGGGCATCATATGGCTAACATCTCTTACTTAAAGTTAGGGACCTATTCTTTTACCTTTTTTATGATAAAGCGTCATTTGTTTAGTTCTTCTTTGAGCCTCCTTTTGTCTGTTTTTCAGTTTTTAAGTGCTATATTTGTTCCAAGCAATTAATTGTCTTACCTCCATTCTCGCTCCACGCTCTTTTTATATTTACTTTTTTGTATTTTCTGTATTATCTACCTTAGTTTTTAGGGGTTTAATTTTGGGCACCTGCTGTCTTTTAAGAACCTAGGATTCTTAAAGTGATAACACTTCTCGCCAAATTACCCAAAAGTTTAATTTGTGTAACTATCATACATATAACTTCACTATGGAAATTTTACTGCGTAGCTTTTCGTTTCCCGTTTTTCTTTTTTCTTTTTTTATTACCAGTTGCAAATCTTGTAATTAGGTTGGGCATCGCAAAAAGCCGAAGTTAACAGAGTTGAAAACTAAAAAATCGTGAGTTTCTATAACGACTTACGGGGTACCGCTTACTAAGTTGAATATGCTAAAACATATCCATCTGAGCTTCCTGCCTTAAAATAAAAGATTTAAGTTCAAAATTTTGCGTTATAAGTTCCAAATATTACAGATACGCTTAGCATAGATTAAAACTAATTTATACATGATAGCCGGCAAACGTGAGTGTAGATCAAGGACAATATTTTAGGGTTTCTGGGTTTCGCAACCCTTTACTACAAAATTGTTATTTACCCAGAAACCCTAAAATATTGTCCTTGATCTACACTCACGTTTGCCGGCTATCATGTATAAATTAGTTTTAATCTATGCTAAGCGCACTTGTTTTTTTTCCATTGCTGCTCTGGTTCCATTATCTAAATTCTTTCTATTTTATGACGAATAAATAATCTGTAATCATAATAAAGGGACAGAGTTCTTAAAATAGAAGAAAAGAAATGGTTTTATCCATCATTAAATTAATCTTGTAAAGATTTTTTTTAATGATAACATTCAAAAATTTTCAATATCTACGACAGTATATTTAGTCGAAGCCTCGAACACTTACTCTTTTGTGATCCTGCGAGGCAATGGGATTCAAGGCTTATCGGGCCCAGACTCACACCATCCGGCTAAAAGTGGTGGAAAACCACTTGACATGCGCTTAGCGGAGGAAGTGGTCCTGGGTACGGGGAGAAAACTAAGGCCTCCTTACCCTAACGTTGCAGTTAGTTAGGTCTCACCTACTTTTTCTTTGATATCGTTTGCTATATATCTATTGAGTAGGAACGCGACGGTTATTATAATTTGGTTAATAGCAGTTCTTTGTAATGTGCTCCCCCTCTCCCTCCCAGATCTACCGCCCCTGTGCGGTAACAAATTTTTTTAGTGGAATATTAGTGGCCTAACTTGCTATTAAGCTTTTATAACTTATAATAGGCTACAGTTGTAGCAGTATAAAAATAATAAAGAGTAATATAATGACTTAAGGTTTAAATTATTATCTTCTTGTTAACTACCGACTTTTGGGGTTGTAAATATGATTCTTAGTCCTAGAAAGCGCCTATGGTTACCGCTACCTTTTACTGGGTTTACTTGGAATCTTTTAATATACTTTAAGTTAACTTTAAAAAGTATAAATTATACCACCATTTTTCCTAGTACCACTATTTATAAGAAAATAATCCATGAAAATGGGTTTAATCTTGATCCCAAAATAGTTTTAGAATTTTATGATAGACAACATGAACTTTTCGTAAGCTACTTAAAGGATTCTCCTAATTTCTACGCACGTAAGTTGTGTGTTTATTACAATAATAAAGTTGACTGGCTTTCAGCAATGAAAATATTATATAAGTTGGAAACCTCTAATCATGATTTGGTGGATAATTTTTCAAACTCCGAGAAACGCAATGAAATAGTTTCTACTTTGCAGTCTTCTTTTTCTCTCTGTGAAATAGTCTATACTTACTTATTTTATCTTTTTATTAGCGAGGTGAGAATGTATAAAGTAAAACCTTCACTGGAGGCTTTATACACCAAGTACAAAACAATGACTACTGTAAGAAGGCAAAATTTAAATACTTTAAGGACCGTATGGAGTTCAAATTCAAGTTATACAGGCACCTTAGACAAAAATAACGACTCCGATAATTACAATAACGACTGCAACACCAATAATAACATTGGCGTATGCAATATTAAAAAGAAGAACATCTCAAAAACCGATTTTTTTGCTTTTGAAAAGTTATTGCAAGCTTCTGAGATAAATGTTGACCTAATCTTATGCTATTACTACATAATGAAAGGAGCACTACCATCAGCTATTAAGTGTTTTCATTTGCGACATGCATCCTTTTTATTAAGCTTTGCTTTATTGCATTCTCTAAATGAAGCTCTCAAGTGTAAAGAAAAGAACGAGTCTTTCGCAGGCAATTATTTTTTGTCTTTGTTTATTTTGTCCTTTTTATAAACATCTTTTATAAAAGATAGGCGTGCTGAATTTTTATACCTAAACTTAATTAAAACAATTTTTTATCATATAAAAAAGGAATTGAAGGAGGAAGAGGTAAACTCATATAAATATTTGGTTATGTTCAACTTATATTAACTTATTGTAAGCTGATACCTGCATATACAGCTTACGCTAAATCCCTAACATCCCACAGTGTTCACGAAGACGATTTTTACCTTTTGGACCATTTAGGTAGAAAGTTGTTTTTCACTCTTAAAGCTGTAACTATCTTTTTAATTTATCGAAGGAAACATACTTTCAGTATTGTTATTTATTAATCATTTTATATTTTATATATTACGGCAAAAAATATTATTTTTTTTTAAACTGTACAAGTAAAAGCAGTACTATTCGGCTTATTGAAGTATAGCTATTGTTTTAAAGTTTTGATTATCAACCACTTTTCGACAAAGTCTTAAGGGTAATAAATACCTTATTGTACAGATAATATATTTAAACTTCTAAAATCCCAAAAGGCATGATATATTTTTGAAGGACAATCTCTTATAGACCCTCAAATTTCCACAACCAACACTATTTTAACTTAATGAGGGCATATACAATGCTTCCTTCTTAATAATATTAACTAAAACGTTTATAATTATATCAGTAACGTTATTAGTGAAGAAAGTAGCTACATAAAAATTGTTAACAATAAATAAAGTCTCCAGCACACAAATTTTTAACTTGCAGATTCCTTGAACGAACGGCTAACAAACAACCACCCTCGATTATTTCCGTGGGTCGTCGTTTTCCACGTGCTTGATGCTGAAAAAAAGGCGGGCAACTGGCGGAGAGTCCTCGAAGTTTATGAACACGCACAGAAAAATTATAAATTTTCGCCACACCCCAGCATTTACGCAAGTCTTTATTCCTAATAGCTTATGCCAATGTTGCCATAATGATACCGTCTTCATGCTACAATATTCGTTTTTTTCTTACATATATTAATAACTGTTCTGTAGTTAATAGTGTTGGAAGCCTACGGCATGTTGGGGTTCCTTGATAAAGTTGATCAAATATACAACAAACTTTTGTCTGGTCATATGGAAATACCTTCTGAAGTGTAGGTCTTAATATAGTTTCTTTTTAACTTTTAACAAAGACTAAATTCATTAGGAATGACCTTTATAACGCTATTCTGGAGAGGAAAAGGGAAAACAAAAGAGTAAGGCAGAAGGTCACCAAGTCTTTTTTATCGCTTTCAAATAATAAAATTAATTAGCCATGCGATTGTCATAAACATGTAGTCTCATAGAGTAATCTTTCTTGTAGCAAAAGGCACACTCCATTCCAGGAAACTTCTTAATGCAACTAATACAACATATTATTATTAGTAATGGAGTAAGGAAAGGTTTTATACTTCGAGTGAAATTCATGACCACACTGATATACGATAACCAACGGGCTCATGGTTCCTACGCGTTTCCTATAAAGTTAACACACACAAATAGTAAATCATGAGTTTAACAATACTTTTAATTGTCTTCCTTGGTTGGATAAAGAAAGAGGAGCCCGCAATAAAAACAAATTTCAGCTCCTTCGATGCTCCCGAGGTTCGACTTTCAAGTTATAAGAAGAAAACAGTAGGCAATACTCATGGCGCAAAGTGCATTCTACGCATAAATTTATTATTTAGATTGTTAGCCTATAACGACCAGATTAGGGAAGTTATTGAATTTCATTGGCCACTTAATTGCAAGCAGCTCCACTACTACACTTTCATAATAGAACTTTAACAGGGAGTCTTAGCGGTGTGCACTACTGCAGTGACATGCCAGGCTGGCGTATGTAAAGAGCAATCTCTTGAAACTGTAGTTGTAAGGCGATAATTCTCGTAATTCGCTATACTGTTGACAAGTTCAAGGCTAATTTTTGGGTATGTTGTAAGTATAATTACTTATTATTATCATATTTATTACGTTTGTGCCTCAAAGTTATAATGCTCATAAAAAGCAGAAACCAAATTCTTTATCTCCTTGAAATATTTCAACTCCTCATCTGCCCAAATCAAATAATTCAAATTATCTTATAAAAATAATAAAGAAGCCATTGTTGTACTTTCAAGCAACGTGTAAACAGACCTAAAGTCTCTTAGCTTCAAAAAGTTAACAAAAAAATTCAGCAACAGTTTCCTTCGAAACCCTTAATATTTATTATGGTTTTATTCGACATAAAATAAGACTCTTTATAAAACAACCATTGGGACTGGTAAATACTTTGAAGGTTCCCTCAATTGCTAGTAATGCCTAATTGGATTCAATAAAAACACCCTATAGTAGCTATAACAAAAATAACTTAATAATTCACTGCAAAAACCTTAATAAAAAGTTAATTTAATTTAAAGACTTAAATTTGTAAACTTTAAACCTATCAGCCTTTGTTTTCAAATAATATGATTCTATTAACTTACATATTAATAATTAACGTAAACTTTGCTATATGAAAACGGTTAACAATTTGTTAATTCCAGCATCCCAGCACAATTTAACAAGCGCAAGGAGAAAGAGGCATTGGGTTAATGAAAAGGCACTTTCTATAATGAGGTAATTTGGTTATATGTTGGGACGAGTCAATCAAATCTTATCCACACTTGCATTAAAAGCAAGTCACACACACCTTGAAAGTTTGTCAGAGTATTCTATGTTTGCATGTTTAAGTTGAAGCCTAATTGAGTTCCTCAAAATTTTTGCTATTACCGCATTTAAAAAAATTAACTCAAGGAGTGGCCAAAAGTGGTGATCCGAGTTCAGGATTAGGCACAACAAAAAATATTAAAGCACTAACTTACTACAGTTTACCGCGATTTACTAAGTTAATTATGTTAATACGTATGTGCGTTCAACTATGCATACGGTGCTTTTTCTTTTTACATTATATGTTTCTAGAGTTGACGAAGACCAAAAACTTATGAACAATAACATTATTAAATTAAAATGTAATAATATGTGACCATGAAAACTCCCTAAAAATCTATATAAAAAAGAGAAAACTATATTATTATAAAATATATTATATATTAATATGAGCTTAAATTGTGAAAAACAAATTTTTAGTTAAAGTTTATGGTACCTTCGCAATCACTTCTTTTTTTTTTTTATTTTTACTAAAGTTATCTAGTATTGTGAATTTGACAAAATGTTACTACTTTTAGTTTTATATTATTACTCCTAGGGATAATTATGACAGTTAGGGCAGTAATTAAGTATATGATAACGCAATATTCTAACATTAGCCTGCGCTTGTCTATCAGTAAACTTGTAACTAAATAGTGCCCTCTATGGTTGGAAGGAGAGTGCCAATTTTTTAAACTAACAATATAGAATAGCGCTGGCCTACGAACGTTTATCTAAATTTGCAAAGATTACCAAAATTATGGATAAAAAAGTGACAAAAGTTAACTTTTCGTGGAAGCAGAACTTCCTTTTTAGTTATAAGCCCTTAATTTACTTATTACCTAATTAATATTCCTCCATGTTCCATTCCTGTAATGTTGTTACTTTCATAGATGTAAGTTAAGACCCACCCGCGTAGTCCCTAGAGTTTACTGTAACCTTCCAACAAAAAAATTGATATAATGTGAGGCATCGTTCATTGTACCATCCTGCAACTGCACCCAAAGACGAAGATCAGAGAGGCCAGACGTGCAGTTCGTTCGTATAATACATAAATCATTAAATAAATATATTTCACGTGCGGCCTTGTAGGAAATAGGTTAAAATTACCTTGAAATATAGTCCAATAGATCAAAAATAAATTCGAGGTTGCCTGACCCCACCGCCCGGTCTATGAATTTCAGGCTTCGTAGCTTAGTACAAATTAGCTACCACCTAATATATGGTTTAAAAGACCTCTCATCTACGTATGATAAGTAATTTTAGCTTAATTAAAATGAGCAGTTATAAACGTAATGCTCTGATAAAGCAAAGCTCAAGATTTTCCTCTACTCTGAAGGTTTTATAAAAAAAAACAACCTTAATAGTGAACTTATGGGGACGAGAGATTGTTGTCAAGAACGCGTAAGCTCAATCTCAATATAATGAGTTTACGTATTTAACCTGTTAAAGCTACCACTTGGCGTTTATAGAATTTAAACATCTCATCCGTTACACAGTTATGGAGGTCGTAATTCGTCTTAATAACCGCTTCCTTACAAATTAAAATTCGGTCTTGGGCAGTAACCATACAGCGAAGCGGAGGATGGCAACCTATTGCTAGCCTTTAATATTGCTATTGCCAGCCTTGGACTCAAGGAATAAGCATCTGTATGGAGGCCTGTATAAGTACGATCATTCGTTCGGTGTACGATAGCGATCTGGCGACAAAAAAAACAATAATTACTAGGTTAAGGGTGTATAACATTGAAAGAGGTTCCCAAGCCTTCGTCACAGTTTAAGTCTCTCACTAAGAGTTCAAGCAACAAAGCTGTTATATCACTAATTACCTAACTTTAGATAATGCCGGGCTATAGCCTAGATCGCTATGGCAAAAGCTCATTGAAGGATTCCTGCGCGCAATTCTCGGAATAATAGGGGGTTAAGAATTAGCATGTACTATACGGAGAGCTCAAGGTGGTGTCTGCAAGATGATTTTATAGAAAAGGGAGGGGGAAGACGATAGTGCTTTTAAAGGGCAAGCAAAATTTAATAAAAAAAACTTAGTGGTACAGAGCCTGCTTCGATGGTCATGCTTCAGTTGTTTTATGCAAAAAATAAAAAAAGAATGGCAGGAGGTGGCTGCATCGCCTGTGCTGCCTCCTCAACTCGGTGATGACCTTCACCTTTTTTTAACGTGAGATGGAAAATAATGGTAGTCGTGCTGTTACCAAAAACACTGCAACTAGCACCTAACACTAACCATAACCCTTAATTAGTTCACTTTGTGTCAGCCTAAGCCTATGAGCAGGTATTAAATTCCCTGTATCAATACTGGGTGCATTATCAAAGGTGAGCGATAGAAAGTCGTCCGTATTTGAAAAATAATGGCCGAATGAAGGCCTGCCTTTCCTGGGGTCATGCCACCCTCTACGATCTTTAGGCGCCATTGGTGCTTTTTCTTTGGGCTTCATGGATATTCGTATCTCTATCTGCCGGACTTAGTTTTAACTCAAAGTCGAAGAGTTATGATTCTGTTACCTGCTTCAACGAAGCCCCAGGCCCAGGGTCCGCATGTACTATAGAAGGTTTTATGAGAGACACACGTATCGATAGGCTCTTAGAAATGGTAAAAACCAGCTGTCAACATAAGTCCTGCGGTAGGTTTTACTTAAAAATGAAAAACTAAAATCTTGATTATAAAAAAAATGTATTAAATATTAATAAGTAAAAAAAATTAAAAATTAAATTCTTTAAAAAAAAATTATTTTAAATAAGTAAAAATTAAAAACTAATTTTTACTTTAAAGAATAAATAATAGTATAATAATAAATAAATTTCATTTAAATAATAAAAATCTTAATCCTACCCTTACCTATGCCCCTATTAGGATAGTGGCTCCCTCAGATCATACTTGGACTGACCCGCTGTGGTTCCGTTTTGGATTATACCTACAGGCGCAAGTTATGTAGCTGTGATTGTTATTCGCCACCACGATTTTTGCTCACGGTCAAATGTACGCATATTATATCACCTAACTTAGCTTTTTGGTAAATTATCGCTTCCCAAAAGAATATTTATAATGTATTTACCAATAATATCCGCAGTCATTCCATACTAGGTTTAGAGACTCAATTATACTGTATCAAGAAACGGCCATGTGGTAACTTGCAAATATTGCAACTAACCATACTAAAAGTTAAGAAGCGTAAACTGAATGTGTGAAGTATAACAGCCTGAAATAATATAAAGTCATGTCTAACAAAAAGAAATATTATACTAGAATAGCTTAAACAAGTAATTAATATTTAAAACTCATTTGCAAAACTCCCATATATAATGTGCGCATGTTACTCCTTCAAAATCAAGTTATAATAACTCTATAGAAAACAAAAGGGGACTTTTCCTTAAATAATTACATGCAGACGCGAAATCCGATAACAGATGTACTGATTTCGGCAAATTAAAAAAAAATTATTTTTCACAACAAAGTTTGCCTCGCCACTTTTAATTTAAGAGCAAAAACTGTTAAGATAGAGTTGACTTTAAGCACCAAGCAGAAATTATTTATTATTAATTAAAATGACGCCTTTCTCAAAGATATTAGGTTTTAACCTTTAACATAATTATTACATATTAATAAACTATGGGCCAAAGTAATATTTTAATTTAAATATTTATTGAATGTTAGGATCTTAAGAAAAGGTGTACACATATCGTCTCGAAACAATAAGGAAAAACACGAAGTTAAGCAATCCAAGAGCAAAAATGATAAAATAAAAAACTTCTAAATTTCCTTGGTTTAAGTTGTCACGAATATAACCAGTCGACTCGCAAACTTTGATAAGATTCGAATTAATAGTTGCTCCAAAAGAGATTGCCAATAAACTAAGTGCCTGACTGACAGAACGCACGTTATTAGGAACTTCGACATAATAAAAGTCGCTAAAAGTAATAGCAGCAAGAATTTCCGCAAGACCGGATAGCACGAGTTGCGGAATCATCGTAAGGATGCTCAAGTCACTTTGAAATGGTTTTGGAGTGCCTTCACGGTATGAGCACTCGCTCAATTTGTTGGTATAAGGGCTTCCACGGCGGTATATCTCGACAGTGCCTGCAACAACCATCGTTAACGACGCCACGAGGAGACCAGCGCCTATACGCTGGAATGGCGTCACGGGGCAGCCCGTGCGGGCCAAGAGTGGAAATATTACTAAGTTAAATACCGGCACCATAGCAATAATAGTCACACCAATTGGCATGGGCAACTGGCCCGGTCGTAATAGTGTAGTATCCATTTGACAACCTTGCAACTGGAACGTGGACGACATCTGCGTGTAAACGCACCAAAACATGGCTGCAAATGCAATATAAGGGAAAAGTTTGAGAAGCTCCATCGACTCAAAAATGAACTGCTCGCTAAAGCGGCCGCTCTTAGCGGCAATCCGTAACCAGCTGTTGTCGTTAAGAAAGATCATGAGGCCCAACCCGATAAATGACAAGGACACCCCTAAAGCGCTGAGGGAAACGTGGTCCACTGCAAGGGTTATGGTAGATAGCCCTAATAGCAATGCACAGGGAGACGTCATGAAAGTATATAAAGTACGACAAATAAATTTAACCTAGGCTAAAAAATTGCAGTAGGAAACCAAGACACACCAAAAAGCCGTAAAAACTTCTACAGGCCGAATAATAGCAAATCCGTATAAAGTTTGTAAGAGCCGAGCCGGAGTGTGCGGGCTTGTAAATTTTCCTGGAAACTGTATAATTTTTTATAATTGTTATTATATCAAATCCATTAACGTAGATAGAATTTATGATTGCAACATTAATTTTTGCTACGTACGTCATTTCACTTTATAACTGTGTCACTGCTTAGTTCAAAGTTTTAATTTTTCATCGTTAATAAAAATTAAAATATTGCAACTTATGCAATGCACATAACACAATATTAAACCACTGCACCCATACGCAGTACTAATGAGAATAGCTAAATGATATAAGCCAACAGATATACAACTTAATTAATGAACGCTTGTATATTTTTAAAACAGACTCAAAAGTAAAAAAATCACTATTATCAAGCGAGCAAAATTTAGCAAGTGCTTCTCTAACTATTATTTCTCTTTCATGAGCCATTACTTAAATTCGAAAGATTATTAATATGATAGTAAATAATAAAGTTCGGCATTGTCACGCGACGCTTAACACTTTTTACTTAAGAAGCCACTAATTATACAGCCCCCCCTAAAGTCAACACTAAACGAGGACAATAAAAGGGCACAATAGGTAAGTTGACCCACCAAATAAAGGCTACCTTATACCTATTAACCCTAAGTGGGAAGCCTAAACAACATTAAGCACCTAAAAGGATGAGTAATAAAGAGGCAACGTAAGAGGCTACTGATATTATGAAGGAGTAAAAATAATTAAGTCTTCCTGAGGGGCCTCCGAATCCTAAAGAAATATCAATAGTCCTCTGAAACTATAGTCATTTCAAAAAAAGGCACATGTTGAACCTCCAGAGGCGTAATGAGAAATAAGTCCCGATGATAAGGCGGCGGCGACATTCCCAAACATATAAAAATACTGAAAGAAGTCTTTCTGCTGTTTCACTTGCTTGGCATCGTTAACATTAAATTGATCGGCCCCTGTTTTATCCACCAATCAGATAATACAATGTGCTTAACTATAAAATGGTTAGTGACCTAAAACGGTTAGAAGGGGTCGTGAGCCACCTGCGCCGAGAGCAAAAGCAACATAGCCTAAAAAATTAGTATAAATTTACTTCAAGAAATTTCTTTATTCTCAAAAAATTTATACTTTTTTATTTTTTAAATAACTATTTTTTGATTTAATAGAAAACAATCAAAATTCTACTAAATAAATATTGTACCAATAAAAAATATCCAAGTTTTATCGATAACCGGATGAGAGGAAAGGGAAATTAGCCCTGTATATATTATGTATATATGTAGTAAATTCGCTTTCTCCAAAATTATGCCCAAAATACTTCATAATTCCTTTATTATTTTTATCAAAATTTTTTAAAAAGTAATAACAGAGCCTGACTAAAAAGTAAATTATCTGTAGCCCTGCAACTTTTGTCTATACATAATTACTATTATTAGTATACTTTATTTAATTTAAAACCCTCCCTGCCTGTTTAGTTTTATAATACTTAAACTTTTACCATAGCCAATAGTTGCAATTATTAAACTCGCAAGCAGAACATGATAACGACCTAATTTTAAAATAATATGCATAAAAAAATTATCAAAAAAATATATAAAACACAGTTACGCTAAAATCTTAAAACTCGCGCTTCTCGAAACTATAAAACTGCAAAAAATACATGAGGAAAATAATAAAACAATCTTTTAAACGTCCATTATAAAGAATCAATCCATAGCGAGGAGCAAAGGAAAAAGTAAGAGATACAGGTAAATAAGATAAGAGGTATACGTAAAAACTCCAAAAACTAACTGCTAAAAATGCGCAAATACAGAGTTAGACTTAATAAGTAAAATTCTTACAAAATGCATTTATTTTTATAAAGAAAAACCATTTTAAAAAATTAAATTTCAACCGATTACCTTGGTTATAAATTAATTCAACAAATAACATGAATAAGGATTTTCAGTAGTGATTCTGAAAGTACCCGTAAATAAGCGGTTACTAGTTTTTATAAAGTTATAATAAAATTAAAGCAGGCTTAAGGCTATAAAGAATCCTAAACTTTATTTTCTATAGTGACATAACGTGTGTAATCCTTTCCAAACTCTGAACACTTAAGTTTGTAGGCATTAAAATACACCAGAAATATATATTAATTATTATGAAAAAATTATAACAAGCGAATACATTGTATAACCCCTTTTTAAAATTAACTCCTAAAGTAGAAAGAATATTATAGTATAGTAATCAAGCAAATAAAAGCTAAAATTAATAGCAAAGCCAATGATAATATATTTTTTTATCTTAAAAAAAAAAGAAGAAAAATCAAAGATAAAAAAAGTTCACCCCACTTGGAATCCGCCAAATAGCAGAAAAGTAAGGAAGCCAAACTGTTTAAAGTCCAGAAAAGTTGTGAGAGTTGAGCAGCTGTGCCGCCTTTGAATCCCAGAAGCTTCAGGTACACCGTCAGGGAAAGAACAAGAAAGAAACCCAGTCGTTCAAAAAAATAGGAAATAAAAAAGAACAGTCCTATTCCTAAAAGAACATTTCCCTTATGGGGAGGTCCTTTATTATCTGCAAAAAGTAGTTAGTAGAGAAAATAAATTAATAATAAAATAGCAGCCTTTTTATAAATATAAATCCCCAACAATATTGCTAAGCCCTACAAATTAACTAGCTTTCCAAAAAAAAAATTAAAGTGTGTTAGAAAGTCTTTAATATAAGAATGTTAGTATAATGTAAATAGTCAGATTCCGAAATTTACTTTTATAAAGGTAAATACTAAACCATTTACGATGATTATTTACTAGTCCATATATTAATTACGTTATCTAAGTTTTATTTAATCCTCAATGACGTTAATAATACCTTCGATAAAAAATTTCTAAAAATAGCGACATAATTATAAATACTGCAAGCTATAAAGCTTCCAAGTCATTAAATAAGCTATAAATAAACTTTTTAGTTTAATACATTATAAACTAAAGCCTAAATATTCAATATTACCGACTAAAGACTCCTTATAACTTTTTTCTGTATCGTCCATAGCGTAACAATAATCTAAAACAAAGGATGAAATTAAAGGGACATGTCTACTTAACATACAATAAAAAATGTTTAAAAAGGTATATATACATAAAAGGAATATTATAAAAAAAGAAGAAGAAATAGCATTGCTAAATAGAAAAGTAATCAAAAGCTACATTCTAGTTTTTCCTTAGGAGAAGCAGCCATTGGAACTTTTTACAAGGCATGTTTCTCCACAGAAACTCCTTTATTTTAATTAGTAAGATAAACAGCTACTAATCAGCTATGGAGTTTAAATTTAACATGTATTTTACAATGGCTACAATGTTATATGCGCTAGATTCATTTTTTTCAGTTTCCATTCCCCGCCAATGCAAATACGGCAGTTTTCAGAATTTAAGTTTTAATTCGTTATTTTTTAACTAACAATATTTTTAAATGAAAGCTATAATTTTTTATGAACTGCAATGCTCTCCAATATCATTCATCTTATTGTACACATTGTAAAAAAGGATTAAAATACTTTTAAATGTTTCTCCAAAAATAAGTTGCATAGTTTAACAACAGGAAAATAAAAATATATTTAATGGTAGCAAACTGAACCATTTGAAGTAATAGATTGCATATTTAAGATTATCTATAATAATAGTATGTGTATTAAGTTTGTACCACTAATTATTAGATCAAAAGTTACTTTTTTAAATAGCGTTCTAATTTACCCTGTTTTACCTAAGAGTATATATTAAAAACTTTAAGTAAACTAAGTAAAGAGAGGCTCATAGTTCCAATTAACATATAATTTTTTAGACTTGTAGTTATAAACTTTATGCATTTTTAATGAGCCTTTTAATCTTATTAATCTCACAAAAAAGTGCTTGCCCCAAGTGGGGAACTGATATATGCGAAGGTCTGGTTGGCAGCAATGCTTATTGGTGCCTCCAAAAGGCCTGGGGTATAATGAACCACCTGTCATAATAATGAATTTTAGCGGTCCCACTATACTAAGCCTATAAAGCGAAAAGCTTGAGACCGATAAGTCTCCGTCATCCCCAGCCCACTGCTGGAGTACTTGTGTATCATGCTTCGACTAAGCAAGCTGCGCTTAAAAAATTTTAAGCATCTGCCTCTCTTCGGGTAAAACTTCTTTTTGGATAAATTAAAGTACGTTGTTATATATACTACATTCGACAGTATGAGGTTTGCCTAGTTTTAAGTTAGTTGGAAGATGTTTGCTTAGTAATATAATGAAAAATTAAATATTGGTGCCCAAAAGCTGCCGAAAAATATTAAAAAATTAAGGCTTTGCTTATTAAACCTAGCTATAAACAAGTTGAAGCTTTTTCGTTTACTTATGCAAAGAAGTATTAAATAAGTAATTTAGGCTTGTAAACCAGTTATTACCTCAGCCGAAGTTTAAAATATCAGTGCTAACTAACATTGGCTTAAAGTAACTGTACAAATTTTTACTAAAGAGTATTGTAACATAAATTATCAAAATGAATTCTTTAGGAAAATTAACTTTTACTTTGTAGAAAAAATATTATAATCTTAGTTAATATTCATCCGTCATTTTACGTCTTTTCGACTATATTTTGATTTATTGTTGTTGCTTCTTTACAGTCAAATAGTTAAAAATACTTCAGCATTTTGTGGGAAAGCACCCTGCTATGTAAGAGAATGTAGTTATTTCTTTAACTTGTATGCTTTTAATTTTGGTTGAATGAAGCTTTTAGCATAAATTTGCGTGTTCTAGAACTAATTTGGCATCTAAATATAATACTAATATTAGATTACTGTACTAATGATTAAAAACTCCTGTTATAAAATTATTTGGGATACTTTATGTACTAACCATATAAAGCATTATAACATGTTGAAGTAAAAATGGCAAACAACATCAAAACATTATTTAAAAAGGGTCCCCCCTTATGCGTGAGGTGCTCATAGTTGGGGTAGCCTGTTGGAAGTGATTCTGGCAAGCGTCTCCAGGTGGCCTAGGGTCTTGTGCTAAGACTGCCTCCCTCAGTGGTGTTTTAGCGTTTTTCTACTACACTAGGCCGAAAGGCGGGGGTCCGTGTCCGATATTTTCCGCTTTTTCAGTCCGAGACAATCATAGCCCTATAGAGAGCATACATTAGGGGGCGCTCGGGCCCCGACCAGTTCTTTAAGGGGAATTCAGGTTAAGCGGTTTAAGGCCTGGAGAAGACCGGCGGTAATATACCAGTGTTAAAAAAAATTGTTTAAATGGTTTTAACTTAAAGATCTTAGAGCAAGAAGTTATTTCCTGGGTAGAGGACCAGTTTTCGCTTTACACCGCAATGAAATTAAATTACTTAGACTTTATTAAAGTGATATTACTATTAAGTGGCTTTTACTTTGTACCTACCCTTGTTATCTGCAAAGTCATTAACCTTTTTAAGTTATTTTTAAAAAAATATGTACGAAAGTTATTATATTAGCATTTCAACTAAGTATTTGCATCTATAGCTACATTAGAAAAAGCAGCTACACTACAGCTATGTTTAATAAATTTGTTTTGTATGAATTTTATTTATTATTTTATAAATTAGAAAAGATTATTATAACTTGAATTAATTAATTTAATATTCCCCATCTTATGCTTTTAATTTTTATATTTATTCTTGACCAATAAGTAGCTACCAAATAAGGAATAAGTTGCCTTTTGCATAATTAAATAAATACGCCTTGGTGACAAACGATTAACTTAAATAATTTTAAAAATGTTAATAGACTTAAAAACATTATAAACTCTAATCCTGTTGTAATTTTGACCATTTTCAAATTGTCCCTGATTATTAAGTCATTGTTAAAGTCTTGGGTTTTATTTTCAATTTGAAGTGGAACGACAAGCCAAAATAATAATATGAAAAAAAAGGGCAGAGTAAAAAGTAAAAGAATAAGTTAGCTTATATTATATATCATGTATTTTATAATCTGGTTGTGCGTCTGTTTGAAAGCTAAAGTCTGCAGGTAGATAACCTTTTAAATAGTGAATGTTAATGTTGAGTCTCTTAGCTATGAGATCGGCCAGGGGGTGTTGAGATATGGCATAATATACTATACTGGTTAAATTCATTCTTGCATAGGGTTACTAAGAGAGGAGTTAATGTTTTTGGTTACTCTTATATCAGTGAGGGTATTGCTTGCGCTCTGTATATGAGCTTCCGTGTAAACTTCACTTAGCTTTCGCTTTTATATGACATTATCATACTTTGGTCGTAGGCAAATAAGCCTATAATGGGCCTGAGGGGGAAGTAATTCTAATCTTGTTGCCTGCCCTAGCCGTGTTTTTTATTAATAGGGAAGTATCCATAGTAATACCAAAATATAAGGAGGGCGTGTAGCAGTTTATAGATATATACCTCCACTTCTCTGCGGAAATGCTTCCAATTGAAATATTGTGTAGATCTCAAACTTTTTGCAATATGCAATAAAGCATAAGAAGTCAACTGTGCTTTTGTATGCTACTACTTCGTGTTTCCATTAGGAGAATTCGTGTCTGGCTCTTGCAAGTGTAGGGAGTAGCAGCTTCGTTGTTGGTATACTTTATATTTGACAAAAATGTGTTATCAGTTCTAATTGTTTGCATCCGCACTTACCTGTGTTTTGTTCTATTTCAAGCCTAAGCAGCTTGATTAAATGGGGTTTTACGTTAATATTGCAATTCTTTTTTAATTTACGGATCGTGACTACAACCACCGAATATCTAGCAATCATTTACATAAACACCAGTTATGAGCTTTTAAAAATAGAGTAGAAGATGATATCGACTAGGAAGAATTGGACATAACCATACATTTCTAAGTTGTCGGTCATATGCTTGTAAAAGAGTCTTGTTAACTTATTAAACTAACTTATTAAGCCTGCAAATGGATATGTTGACCAGAACTACGCAATTTTTCCGGTATATTTGTAATAATTATTTAAGAGCTCAGCATGTGGCTTATTTAATAAAGAGTTCAAAAGGTGTATTTTACGTGGAATATATGTATATCACCATCTGCCAGTTATTTAGTTGCGAGAGGGTTGTAAGAGTTCGGAGTGTTTTTATTCCTTATAATGATAGTGGCGCGTGAATTTCTTTATAATCGTCAAAACTTCCTGCCTGAATTCCTTGCATACCTCTTCCAGGTTATATGTGGCTTGAAGACGTTTGTTGTTGGCATGTAGTTTACTGTAGTAGCAATCTTATATATTTTGCTACGTCCGTCTCTAGCTTTTCTTTATTATAGGTTAGCTGATATCAATTCATGGGGAGTAAGGCTTTCTTTTTTAGGAATTTTTTTTTTTTTTTTTTGTGTCGCTTACATATATAGGCCTTTCATCTTCCTCGGGACCGTTCATGGCCGTTTTAAGTTTATTACCTCCTAAAAATGAACGATCAGTGATGCTTCTTTCTTTCGGTTTTTCTTCAATCTCGATGAGATCATTTTTCCTTGATATGCCCGTGAGACCTTTTTTTCTTATCTTATTGTTGGCGTTATCTTTATTTATAGCTACAATTTCGGTGGGCCTTGCGGTCTACCTTTTCTTATACTTATGTTTCTGTGAATTTGTTGACTTTATGGAGTGGATGTATATTCTTTTCTTTGTGCTCATATTGTTTAAATTTGTAGTCTTTTGTGTAATTGTGGATGCGAGTCGCTTCCTTTTCTTTAGTTGCTTTCTTTCCAAGGATGCTTCACTTTAAATCTAACGGCGAGCGTTTTACTCATATATATATCCTGTATTTTATAGTATTTTTTTTTAGGGGATGAAAGGTCTTAAGTTATTAGTTTTTTCATAGCTATAGACGTGTACAACGATGTTTTCCTATTTCTTTGCTTATCCCTTTGTTTAGGTTATTTAAAAAGGTCTAAAAGCCGCGCTTTTTTAAATTAATCGCAGGGATACTTTCGTTGTGTGCAACTCTGTTGCATGTTCTCCTTATTTTCATCACGTTGAAGTCCTTAATTTTTTTTTTTTTTAAATATTTCAATAAAAACTTTACTTTCGTTGTAAGTTCGTATGACGGCATAGATGACAGGATTATCTTATAAATAGCCAATTTTTTTTTTGAATTTCTGCTTGTGTAATGTTAACAGAATATTTTTTGTTTGAAATGTTTCGTAGCATGTGTTTTAATTCAAAGATATATTTAACTTCTGGGATGCCCCCTTGGGGCGTTCGCTATGTATATCTGGCGAGCAACGCAATAAACTAGTTATTAAATTCGTAGCTAACTTTTGGAGGCTACAGTTACACGATATGCGAGAATAAGAAGTTTATTCGGCATGGGTAAAGAGTTGTAGTAAGTAACTTGGCACTCGAATGGCTTGTGGGTTTGTATTGACCTTTAACGAATTACAAAAAAGTTATTTGGAGTTGGTTAACGACCATTTTTGTAACAAAAGCTGCACTATGCTTTTACCCTTAAATACTCCTTTAGAGTTCGATTTGTTGTATATTTACACCTTAGTGATGTTGTGTCATCCGTTCGCTAAGTAAGTTCTGTGAGCAGTTTTTGAATATAGTAGGTATTAGAACCCTTCTGATTACTATTCGCCCTAATCTCTTCAATGAGGGCGGTATTCTTGTCGTTGTTGTCCCCTTTATTTGGTTATCTGAACTAATCTTGTTTAAAACTTTTATATTACTCTGTACACTTTTACATATGTAGCGCATAATTGTCCCCGTGTATAGACAGTACATCCCATACTTTACTATAATAGTGTATGTTAGTATAATTGTTAAATGTTTATAATCATCTTGTATTTTGTACACTATTTTAGGTTTTTCCTTCTTAATCGTTTAATGTTAAATTAATATGCTTAGTAATTTGTAGAGGGTGTTTGTTACGATTCTGGAGATGGTACTGGAGATGGTAAGGTTCTCTGACTATAGTGAGCGCCCAAAGGTGAGCTTATAAGAGTTAAATATATAATAAGAAGATAAAAAAACGAAAGTAAACCAATTAACCTTAAAAAATTATAGTTAATAAAGCTAAGATTTAAAATAAGAGTGGAACAGATGCACAACTTTATTAAAGCTGCGCACAGGTGAAAATAGGATTTAAGAAAGGACCGTAGAAATAACCGAAAGTTAAAAATTTGAAATAGAAGCAAAAGTAACATAAAGAGAAAATAGGCACTTTATACAAAGGAAATAACAGAATCAGCTCTCTCACCTTAAGGTAGGAAGCCTTAAATATTTATTTAAGCGCTAAAAATGCAAATCATAAATTTCAAGCATTGGCGCACATAACTTAATAATATCCAATGGAAATGATGATAGGGGTGCATGCTGGATTCAAAACAGTTTTTACCGTAATGTTTTTTGGTAGCTAGGGATAATAGCTGAAATATATAGCGATAGTTGAATAATAATACTGTAAGTAACAAATATTAAAATAGTAACGTAGGTTTACTAATACGGATTTTAATTATATTTATGAAGTAGGTAAAGGTTACTGACTCTTAATTAATTTCAAAGAAAACGCTTGTATATAGGTTTTTATCAATATTAGCATATATACTTTTTCTTTAAAAATTGTCTTAAAAGGCAACATCTCTACAGTGAAAGAAAGAACCCTTCCGAACCCTCTTAATTGGAGGAATAGATTAAGCTGTTTCTGTAGTTTACTCATTACAACAGTAGCATGCCAGAGCATTATATATATATAAATAATGAAGCAAAGGGTTTTCTTTTCTTGTTTTACCGCTTGTAGAATGCTTTGTTGTTGCACGCGTATCGTCAACGAGCGAAAAACTCCGTAGATGCTTGCAGAGAGAGCTAATAACAACAAAAAAAAATGTATTTATGCCTTTCTTGCACATGTAATTACTATTTTCTGTCCAGAAAACTCAGTTTGCGCCAACTCCACATGCTTTTACTGTTCTGGTGCACTCGTCCTCTTGCGCGTGCAATACTTCACAGTAGAGATAAGTTATACCTGATCCCTTGAGTAATGAGCAGGGAGGAGTCGAACTGCCGGGAGCTTTGCTCAAGGTGGGCTCAGTATATTAAATACTGGAAATCTTTAAATCAAACTTTAACTTGTGAATTTAATGAAATAGTCAATCTCCATAAAGGAAAAAAGTATCGTTAAGTTAATTTTCCCTTTTTGCTAACATAAGTAACCACTAAACCAGTACTCTTTTTATTTGTTCATTCTACTAAAGTAATAATAAAGTAATGGTTACAATATTTATTTGTACACAGTTTTGCTTCAGAGGCATATTTTTCTTTTTTAAACGGTTACGAAGCTGAAGTTTGTAAAGGCTCTATTATGGAATTTTGTTATTCGTCTTCTTCTAAGAAGTATGCCTCAGTTAATTCAATTTTGAATGAAATGGTATTTTATTTTAAACTCCTTCCATCCTCTAGAGAATTCCTTTTACCATAAACTTGGCAGAAACTTCTTTTTAAAAAAATAAACGAAAACTCTCACCAACTACAAAATATTACAAACGCTCTATTAGTGAAGGGAAAACGGACTGTTGGATTAGTGGATATAGGAGAAATAGGTATTATTGATGTGCTCTTACAATGGAACGAGCTATAAAATATTTTAAAAATTTTTTAAAAAACAGTATAAAATGTCTACTTTTGTGATATACAGTGACAGCATCACAGCAGCTCATGGCGGCCTTGAGAAGCGAACTAACACTTAAACATACAGTAGTTGAAGAAATGCTAGAAGGTTTTCTACTATCCTTACAAATATGTGAAAAGTTTACTGCTACACATGCCCAACTACTTTTTTTAAGGTAGTTTTAAGCAACACAGCGCACCTCTACTTTACTTAAACTGCATCACCGACGAACCATATTTAAACCAACCGTATCTGTTAGTTTCTTTGAAAATATTAAATGTAGCTGGGGGAAACACGGAGGACTAACACGAACTTCTTACCTGTCTTTCTTAGTTTCTTTTATATATAACTATTAAGTAACTAAGATAACAAAATCACAAATTTTTAAGGATGAGGGGAATATGATTGGCATTCACATGGTCCTGGCAGGCTTTCGCTAAACGAGTAATGAACTTAGGGTACTCCCTGCGGCTGGCGGCCCTCACAGCGCTACAGGGAATCCAACCTCCTGGGCTAACCTAGCACAAAACTCTAATATCGGGTGGTTTCAGAAAAGCAAAGTAGTACTCCTTTACCTTTCCAGTGTACACCATTTCAGCAGCTACGTCATTTCTTGTGAGTTGGTCCGCTGGCTTCCTGGCGGCATGCTCCAACACAACGGTTCTGCAGTACATGCCAGTATTGCAAGTAGCCCTCACGAAGCCAGGGGGCTAAAAACGCACGCTAAAAAAACTTACACAAACTGCTGCTAATAAAAGCGTGCTACCAAAATATCCGCTTGGTGGTCGCTGACGCTCACATTTATAACGCAAGCCGCTCGCTGGTCGTCCCACTTGCGGAAGTGTGAGAGGAATGTGCAATCCCGCTGATTAGCTGGCCAGACCCGTACGTAGCTTTGGTTGAGGATCAGTGTGTTACTGCCTAAGTCTTCTAATACTTTGCAGTTTTCCATGATAGCTAAAGAAAACTTTTCATCCTAAGCGTGTGGTCGGTTATATGCACGGCCAGCAACCTTCCCACTTCCACCGGGTTTTCAAGTCGAAAAAAAAAAAACAAAGTTCCCCAGCGGTGATGCCCTTGATAGTGGCAAAAGCAATCAATGAATCGTCAATTGACTTCTTACCGTCTGGCGTAGTGGATAGGATATCTCTTCGGTATAACCGATGATGCTCTGACAAGAAAATTAGCCAACATGGAAAATTTCTAGCACAATATTTAAAATCGGCACCGGTAATCTCGATTGGCTCCCAGGTATTATCTAAATCGGTAGCATCTTCTGCAATGGAAAGAATATTTTGAACGCAAGCTTCTATAGTGCTTAGTATTATAATATCTGAAGGAGATTCAAATGATTCTAAAGGGGCAGAAAACAAACCTTTCATAGCGAGCATAATTCGTACCACCGACTTTGGCTGGTTCGGAAGGGAAGGAAAGCTTTTGCCTACACTTCTGGTGGTCCGCAAAACTTTTTTTGATAATAACATATATAGCTGTGTAGCGAAAAAACCTCATCAGATACAGGCGTCGTTTCCTCTTTAATTTCGTGCATTGGAGGAATGGAAGCGTGAGACTGAGCAAGTTCCACTTGCTTCTTTAATTTTTCTAAACGGAACTTTAATATTAAACGCTCAACTACTATGACGAGTTTGACCTAACACGTTTTGGCGGTTCCTACGTAATGCGAGCCTTTTCTTTGGAAAACAAAGGCATTACTGACGAAGTGCGTAACGAGAATATATATAGATAATTATTATAAAAAGACATTGTGTTCTTCACTTTGCAGCTTAACTATGTCGGCACACTCGCTCAAACCTACGAAAAATAAAAGAAGCGAGTCCTACTAAAGTAGAGCGTGCGTACTCTGGTAAACCGCCTTAACGGTGTTCTCCAACTCCACCAGGCCGGGGATGATATGCGCGCTACTGTCTGCAGGGAGGAGACCAGCCAAGCGGGTTAGCGATTGGAGCAGGATGGCTTGACGCCGAGTGGCGTCCGACAGGAAATTCAATAGTTGTTTTTCTTGAGCTTGATAAGAAATAGACAAGGCCCAACTAGAAAGTGCAGAAGTTTCACTGCCTTCGCTCAGACAACTAAAAGGTATAGAAATGTATATAATAAAAATAGTTATAATCGAAGTAAAAATACCGTTTATGGTGGCAAGAGGGGACAAAGGCGGCTTTAGATTCCATTGGACCTTCAACGTATACTGGTTCGTCTACTCCAAAATTGGGCTAATTAAATATACATACTCGCTATAATAAGGGATATTACACCAACACAATAAACAGCTGTATTTTAAAAGTAACATTTGAGCAGTTATCTATAAAATAACTAAGTAACTCTTAACAACAGTTTATAAAACAAATACTTTAAATAAATATAAAATAATATAAAATTTAAACTGAGCAAAGTTAAATTTGCAGCAGTAACTCAAATTTCTAAACTAAGAGCAAAAGTCATTACCATAGCATGGAACACTTATAGAATACATAAATCTTATCTTGTATATAAAATTATTTATAAACTTTTTAAATTATCTAAAGCTGAAGAAAATCGAAGGCTTGTGATTTGACGATGAAGCTCTAAATGTTTAAGCCAGTCTTCCATTTGCTCAATTGTAAAACACCTTAAATGCATGGAAATGACTTCTTCATTCTTTAACAAGTATAATAAATCATGAATAATATAAACTTGCAAAATAAACATAACTTTTTGTGGAACAAGTATTTCAATTCTTAAGTTATCAAGAGGATGAATAGTTATAGAAGCAAACTTTAAACATATTGAACCTGAAAACAGTACATTATTAATGCAAAAAATATTAATAATAAAAAAACCGCGGCAGGAATCTAAGTCTTCGGGAGACTTATAATAGGAGAGATAGCCATCACACAAAACAAAGTAGCGTTCCTGCCAACCGTACAAAAAATTTATCCACTTGTATAAGACATCACTAGAAGATAGTATACCGTAATATAAGCATATACACCAAAATAAAGTCCCAAAACCTTTTAAAAGGGACGCAACAATTATCTCCCTCTGACATCTAGGCTATTTCACCGGAGAACAACCCGAGGCTAAGCCCTCAACATTCTGTAAGCGGTGCTTCTCTTACCCTATTACTTTTCGCTCAATCGAATTTTTTTCGTGGCCGTTTATTGGTCAGAATGCACCTTGGCAATTAAATTATTAAAAAACTATAGCATCGTTAAAGTTTCATCAGTAAGTTGGGCTATTGGATATGTCAAAAACAATTGGTATACTAGAAAAGCTAATAAAGGTATGCATTAATACCGAATTTTTGTACTTTTCTACTAACACTAGCTAAACCTATATTAAAGCCTAGGTCATGGCTGTCACAACCTGAAAGCCGTAAGGTTCTTTGAAGATAGCAAGTGAAACAAAATAAAACGAAGAGCGAAGTTCAGATATAACTACTCAAAACTGTGCACAGGCGAGAAATAAACTTTTAAAAAGAGCTTTAAACCGAACTAGCACTTGATAACCTGAAGCAGTAATGTTATACCGAGATTATTATATACAAATATGATAAGTATTTTCTGACTTTTTTTAAACGGAAACAAATTAAACACGTATATTCTAATATCTTAAATTTAATCTGAACAAATAAACATAAATGGAAATTGCTTTCTAAATTCTTTGTAAAGGTATATAAACGGCTGATTGCCTAAAACTCTTATGACTCCCACCCTCTTTGTTCTCGCCTTTTCCGTTTTTAGTGTTTTTATATTGATCTATTAACTGTTGAAATTGACCGCAAATCCCAAAGGGGACGCCTCCAGTAGAGTGCGATTAACCCTTTATAAGGGTACACAAGCTCGTCATTAGCCTTAAAATGGGGCCCACTGCTAAAGCATTATCATGAGCGTTCCAAAGGGCTGGTAGGATCGCCATATCGAAGGTCAGGGCTCCATCATTAGGCTTATTGTGATGGAATGTCGCTAAAAGCCACCAAGAGGAGAGGAGGTCCAGAGTATATAGATTCGAGGCCTTTTAGGCCACCGACATCGACTGCCCTTCCCTTCCCCCTTGACCGGCTAGCAGCTTCTAGGCCGGGGAACCTTTCATCAGATTATCACATTTAGGTGGAAAAATCTTTAAATATCTATTTTAGGGCTAGAAACGCGTATGGTTCATGAACAATAAAGATAATGCATTAGTCTTACTAAAATTTTTATAAACAAAAAATATAAGCTTACAGACGCAAGCTATGTTACATCAACGACCTGTTAACAAACTCTATCTACGTCTATGTAAAATTTAGAAATTGCACTGAAGAACCAAAACTTTGATGGGGCAGTACATGTGTGTATATACCTTCAAGTTTTTTTTAAACTATAGCCTGGTTACATTAATAAAAAAAGCTTGTTATGTGCCGTTAAGCTCAGTGAAAGTTTAAGCAAACATAAGGTAGATATTATTATTTCAATTTATGGATACCCTTAGAGGTCACCAACATCAACCGTCAACGTTACCGCCACTACCTTTAATTCATATAATAATTAAGTTTAAAAGACAAGCGTTACTAAAGTCTATATAAATTGCCTTTATTTTAGCTATCAAAATCCTATTATAGAATTATAGAAATTATAACATAAGAAAAACCCAAGATTTAAAATTTTATCTTTGAAATATCTTATCTCAAACTATTGTTATGTTTATGTTAATATACAAAAAGTAGAGCAGATACTATAACATTTTATTAATTCCTTTCGATTTTAGAACGTTTATATATTAGTCATTCATGCTTTTTGCTTATTCAGACGGTAGTGTTCAGTAAGTTTATGCCATTCCTTTAATATAGCAATCAGAGATATCTTTAACGACTAAATCTTTTTAACCCTAACATATTGTACTATAAAATTTTGCAATCCACTGTTAAGTACGTTACAGTACTTTTTAAATGTTTTTATACCTAACAATTTTTTACCTTAAAGGTCTAAAGAAGATTGCACTTAATTTACATATTGCTGAATTTTAAACTTTATGTCATAATTAAAAGTTGTTTATCTTTTAAATAGAGGGGAGGGGGAAATCTTGTCTTTTTCATAAAATTTTCGAAATTTACTTGCAAGTACATTATAGTTTTTACTCTTCATTAAAATTCTTCATGTTTAATCAAGTTTTAATTGTTATGATTAATAGTAGATTATACTTAATTTACATTACACTGAATTTTAAATATCCATGCCTTATTTTAAATAAAAATTGTTTATCTTATAAATAGTGGGGGGAGATGAGCATTGTTTAAGATAAACTAGCGAAAGTGTACCCTTCTAACGGAATAGGCACTCATAACTGAGTGGCGTCCTATTTGGGAGTTGCAGTTAATTTCAACAGATTAAGAGTTAAATACTCTGTAGGGGAGTGGGTTCGATTTCCTAGAGCGGACAAATTCACGGAGTTTCCGAGATCGAAAAACCTATGAGCTCGCCTGGGGCCATGTCAAGATAGGGGGGGATCCTAATATCAAAAGGAAGTCCAAGAGGAAGAGAAAGGGTACTTGGACCTCTAACCTACCCTAGTTTGGCGACCAAAGAGGGTTCTGAACATTTTATCACTCATAAGGGTAAGTGGTAGCGTCGAAAGTATGCACTTATAACGGAATGAACGCGCTCAACTCTGGGACATCCTCTCTCGGATTTGCGTTTAATTTCTTGTGCACATATCATTGTGTACCACTCGTACAGCTTATTTTTTATTACATTAAAAATGACCTTGTGGTATTTGCTTGTGGGTTCAAGTTTTCGCCTCATGAATCTACTTTTTCTTTATATTTTGATTTTGATTTAAATATCATATATTATATGCCTCATTACTTCCTGTGTAATGTTTGTTTCTGGCATGATCCTTTATTTTTTGTCGGTCAATGTTCTTTTCCATTTAAAAGCAGTAATCGCTCTCGTTATGCTTACTTTACCACACCCGTTCGGTTAGAATTTTCTGATTAAAAACCGGAAGAAGAGAAAAAGTAAAAAAGGGGAAATTATCACCTGTATTTATCAGATAAAATTCTTAAATATAGCTATTATAAGTTAAGGAACGTGTTATAAATCATACAGATATTCTTTTCATTGCAGTTTGATATCACGCATCGTATTTCTTACTTTGAGTGAAGCCTTTAATAAAAGTTATTGGGGTAAAGCTTCACATAACATTAAAAAAATAATCTGGGCCTTCCTTAAATAACTTAAAAATCACTTTCTTCTCAATTTAATTACCTGAGCGAGTTCATAAAATATCTTAGAATCGCGTACAAATAAATAAAAAATCTTATCTGATTTTCATTTGTGCTCATCTCTTGTGTACAAGCTAAAAGTGAAAAGTAGGTTTACCGGCTTCAAAGTTAAAAAGAAAATAAACTTTAATTTTAACAGTCCCCCAAAGATGCCCATAGAAAAACATCCCGCGCTGGTGGGTCACTTGAAATCGTATTCTATTTACGAAGGAATATTAGTGATGAGATTTTTCAAATATTTTTAACCAGGTGTTTCAGATTCATTAATTCTAGCTTTAACAAAATATTTAAATAATTCTTTTTGCATAATAGAAGTGGTATGGGGGAAACTAAACTACCAAAAAAACAAAAAGTAACCTAAAGAGTTCAACCTGCATATGTAACAAACAACATCAACTTAATATAAAGGGAGAGTATACTGGCGTTTGGGACTATTTCACATTCAAAAAAATTGTTAGTTTTCGAACGCGTAGATCTCCTGCCGAACTATAGCGGTTATATAAACCTAATCGCTCCTCCTCTCTTTCTCCGCCACAAAGCAAATAAAGGAATGTGACTTTTTGCTTACTATCTGTTATAGCTTTCATATAGAAAAGGGGTATGTATACCTTCACAGAGAGTAAAAAAACAATCTAAAATGGGGGACTAAAAAACACAGTATGTGCACAGTTCCCAACCAGGCCTAGGTGCGCATTATAAACAAATTAAATATAAGTACTCTAAAAATTGGATAGCACGCTTCTTTTTTTAATACCTTTTTAAAAATAAATTGTTGTTTTTATAAAATTCACCATTGAACGAATAAAGCTAGATAATAATAGCGATAGTTTCGCACCCCATTTGCAAACTTTCACGTCGATTATTATATGGTACACTGGAGTCACCATTTAAACAGTTTAGTTTTAATAAGCAATCAAAAGGGAATTAAAGAGTAACACATAAATTTATCTCCTAACATACCAAGCCAACAATAAATAAGTAAAATAGTCCTAAATTGTTTTCTTTGTATTTCTTATAATTTTTTTAATCCGTCCTTGTTTATCTAATATTTGAATTGCTTAGGATAAAAATAACTAAATTAATTTCATTTGCATAGCTGAAAGGCCTTTATTAACTGTGTGTTGTATATTAGCAAGTAGCCACTTGCTGTTGTGACCACAAATTATAATTATCATTAGTAAACGCTTACTGAAAAGTTAACGCAATTAATAATGATAGAATTACAGTTTTTTTTAGCTAATAAGTTAAATACAACTCTGAGTTGTCCCCTGGGAGGATTGAACAGTTATTATAGCTCATAATCGAGGTTAAAGCCTTATAGCTTTACTAACTACACTGTCATTCTTAAACGTAGAAAAGGTGCAATTGATACCAAAAACGTGGTGTTTTATTTATACCAATAATAATGGTAAGACGGATCCAATAAATAAATCTAGAAATTTATTATAGGTTACATTATTTTTTTAAAACTTACTTAAACAAAGAAGGTATTCTCAGTTAAGCATATTTCTGGCCATATGAAAATTAAAAGAACTTGAAGCTACACAAACAGTTTCCTCACAACTTTCGGTTGCGTTAAGACTTATATGAAGAATAAATAATTATGAGGAAATTTACTAATGAAGGCATGTCTCCATACTACTCTACCTCGAGGCGTTACCCTTACAACTGGGTACAGGTATATCATAAGTCAACACAGTATTGTCAAACTCTACAAAGCTCTCCCTAGGGCTGAGAGGTAATAATAAAGAGTCCGGAGAGCTATAAATGTTAAAACTCACTAACATTATAAAAATTTGTGTGTGTTTGTAACCTTAA